ATTCCTCCCCTAACCTCACCCCAGCCAAAGTCAGTGCTTGCCACATAAGACCAAGAATTCTCCCCTCCCTTAATGGGTGAAGGAGGTCAAAAGGTACAAACTTCCAGTTATAAAATGAATAAGACCTAAGGATGTAATGCACAGCCTGGTGGCTGTAGTTAATAATACTGTCTTGCATATTTGAAAGTAGCGAGGAGAGTGGATCTTGATGTTCTTAATACAAGAAAAAAGTTCTTTCTTGTCAAATGTTAATTGGACTTATTGTAGTAATGTAATGCACAAATATTGAATCTTATGTTGTATACCTGCAACTAATACAATGTTATGTCAATTATAGCTCAATTAACAAAAACAGTTATCGGCCTCTGTTTTCCCCTATTAAAATGGTGAAGTACTTTGAAAAAAAAAAAAGAATTTTCCCCCTCCGCTCAAGCTGCTGGAAAGATTGTTGGGTATGATGAAGTAATGACTAGTCTTAAGATAAAAACCAGGTTGGTCCTTGGGAACTGGGGTGTGTCAGAGAGGGGAGGGAGGGTGTCAGCAGAAGTCCCACTAAGTCAGACAATGGCAGGAAAGGAAATTAAAAAAAAAAAGAAAGAAAGGAAGTCACCCAGTTGCCGCTGCGGTTTTCTTCAAGGCTGGGCCTAGGCAGGCCGCCCCTTGCTAGGATGTGCTGCGGAGCTATTCCAAAGACAGAAGGTAGTGCTTCTTCAAATGCTTTTCAAAATATGTTCATGGGTATGTGTGTGTGTGAGCAAAACAGAAACAGGTGCGGGGAGGATTCAGATCTTAGAGGCCTTGAACACCAGAGCTTGATTTAATTCCTATGTGACATAATTAAATTTCAAGAAGAGTTCCTTGGATACTATGTGGATTGAGTTGAAAGGTCACAGAGCAGAAAGAGTTATGAGGCCACTGCAGTGGTCCAGGCTAGAATTGATAAGGTCTGATGTGGGGTAGTGACCAGGGGATAGAGAGGTCAACATTGACCTTGGACTTAAGGAGGGGAAGAAGGACCAGAACGCTCAGTGGGGGGAACCAGCAGAAGACTTGCTCTGGAGCTAGCTACAGTGAGAGACACTTTACCCAAATCTGGAGGAACAAGGGCAAAGACCCTTCCAGAAAATTCACATCTTGGTCTCAGAGAAAGGGCTTAGCCAGGGTTCAGCTGATTCATATGGTGTTGGACGGGCCACTGAGTCAGACTCTCAGAGTGCATAAGGCTGCAGAATGAGTATATTAGGCCCCAGCCCTAGATTTCCTTCAGTGGCCACTCAGTTCCTCTCCATTACGTCTGAAGAAGGGAGTTCCCATCTATATATATAAAAGCCTAAGTGACCAAATGACCAGTGGACTGGTCTCTATGATGCGCACTGACCACCAGGGGGCAGATGCTCAACGCAGGAGTGTGCTCAGTGTGCTCCCACAGGGGGAGCACTACTCAGCCAGAAGTCGGGCTAAGCTGTTAGTAGGACATCCCCCGAGGGCTGAGCCTCTAGTCCAGCCCTGGGCAAACTATGGCCCACGGGCCGGATCCGGCCCGTTTGAAATGAATAAAACTAAAAAAAAAAAAGACCGTACCCTTTTATGTAATGATGTTTACTTTGAATTTATATTAGTTCACACAAACACTCCATCCATGCTTTTGTTCCGGCCCTCCGGTCCAGTTTAAGAACCCATTGTGGCCCTCGAGTCAAAAAGTTTGCCCACCCCTGCTCTAGTCCTATATAATAAAGGGAATATGTAAATTGATCATCACTCCACCACAAAGGTGGTGGCACCCAAAGTGGAGGCGGGGGGCGGGGGGGGTTCCGTAACAGAAGATGGCTGCACCCACAGTGGAGACTGAGTTCCCATAACGAGCCTTAATGAGCAATCAGCAAGGACCTGAGGCCCCCAACCATGCCCCCTCCCCCCCGTGGGGCTTGACAGGGGACCTCAGGCCATGCCTCCCACCTGGCAGTGCTTGACAGGGGACCTCAGGCCATGCCCCCTGCCCAGCGGAGCTTGATGGGGGACCTCAGGCCGCACCCCCACCCCAGCACTGGGCCAAGGGACCTGAAGTGGCACCCCCCACCTGGCAGGGCTTGACAGGGGACCTCAAGGTGTGCCCCCCCACCCGGTAGAGCTTGGCGGGGGACCTCAGGCTGTGGCCCCTGCTCCAGCGCCAGGCTGGGGGACCTCAGGCCGTGCCCCCTGCCTGGCGGGGCTTGACAGGGGTCCTCAGGCCGCACCCCCAGCCTGATGGGGATTGACAGGGGACCTCAAGGTGCGCCACCCGCCCTGGTACTGGGCTGGGGGACCTCAGGCTGTGACCACCCAGCCCAATGGGGCTTGATGGGGGACCTGAGGCTGTGCCCCCTTTCTGGTGGGGCTTGATGGGGGAATCTCAGGCCGTGTTCCCCACCCAGTGGGGCTTGACAGGGGGACCTCAAGGCATGACCCCTGCCCTGGAGCCAGGCCAGGGGACCTGAGGCTGCGACCCCCCCCCCCCCCCCCGCCCCGAGAGGCTTAACAAGGGTGGGACTGGCTGGGTCTGGATCTAGCCCAATGGGGGTGGGGCCAGCCAGGTCTGGGTCTTGCGTGATTTCGAGGCACACGTGGGTGGGCGGGGACTTGACTCTGGGTCCCATGGTGTGCTCCAGACTCTGACAGGAGGAAGATATTCATGTACATTTTACTAATTTTCTTTTATCTCTGACACTTCTATTATAGAGAAAGAGCAAATAGCAATATTAAAATATTTCCTCTAATTAATCCCCTTTTAATGTGCCTGAATTTCGTGCACTGGGCCACTAGTTTCTTCATATCAGCCCAGCCCTGTTCCCCATCAGCCCAGGGGTAAAAGGAAGACCAATGAAGAATTCTGGCCATTAAAAGGCTGCTGAAATCTCCATTGGAGGTGGGGCAGCCCCCACCCCAACCCAGCTGTGTAGAGAGAGAGAGAGACATTTGGAATGCACAAGAGGTGCTGGCAGGGAGGGGGGTTGGACAAGGCTGGAAGGGGCCAGCGTTCCTGGCATCCTGTGAAATAGGGGTAGCAGTTGCTTCCAGCCTAGTTCCCTCCCCTCATCCTGTCCCCAAGAGTCAGCTCTTTCTCACAGTTTCTGCCATTCCAGCTCCAACCCCCACCTCAACTTCTTGAATCTCTTTTATGGTGTCAACGAAGGAAGGGAAAACACTTCTTGGCCTAGAACCAGGCCCACTGGGTGGCAGCTTCACACACACACACACACACACACACACACACACACACACACACACACTTCGGCCAGCTTCCCATCCTTGGAGGTATACAGGCCAGGGCTGAGCCATGCTGTTGGAAGGTGAATGCTAGATGGGAGTTTCTAGGTATCTGGGTGCAGAACATCAGGTTCCAATCAATGTTGGTTACTAATCTCCTGTGTGACTTCAGGCCAATGCCCTCTTCTCTTAGTGCCTCCGTTTGTTCATCTGTGCTTTTGTGAATAATCAGGCCAATGGCAGAGGCCAGACTAGAAACCAGATCAAAAGCCAAGGGCCAGTTTGCTAGTAATTGGCCACACAAGGGCACTCACTCTTCCCTTTGGCTGTGCCCCTCCCCCATCTAGGCTGTAAAATACTGCTGCCTGCTCTCAATGCCCTTCTAAAGGGCTCGTCCTCCTACTCCCTGCCAGGTTATTTAGGCCTTACCGATTATTTTATCCCTTCCTATTCCCTCTCAGCACACACTGCTTAGTCCTGGACTCTCTAACACAGAGGTTCTCAACCTGTGGGTCGTGACCCCTTTGGCGATCGAACGACCCTTTCACAGAGGTGGCCTAAGACCATCCTGCATATCAGATATTTACATTATGATTCATAACAGTAGCAACATTACAGTTATGAAGTAGCAACGAAAATAATTTTATGGTTGGGTCACAACATGAGGAACTGTATTTAAAGGGCCAGAAGGTTGAGAACTACTGCTCTAAAAGAACTTTCTGCAACTATGAAAATGTTCTGTAATCTGCACTGTCCATTATGTTAGCCACTAGTCACACGTGGCTTTTGAATGCTTGATATATGGATAGTATGTCCAAATAAATGGTTTTTAAATTGTATTTAATTTTACTTAATTTAAATTTAAGAAGCCACATGTAGCGCCCGCTGGCGGGCGTGGCTCGGTGGTGGAGTGTCGACCTGTGAACCAGGCTGCCATAGTTGGATTCCTGGTCAGGGCACATGCCCAGGTCGCTGGCTCGATCCCCAGGTTGTAGCTCGATCTTCAGTGTGGGGCGTGCAGGGGGCAGCCGTTCAATGATTCTCTTTCCCTCTCCCTTCTTCTCTGAAATCAATCAATATATATATATATATATATATATATATATATATATATATATATATATTTAAGTCACATGTAGATAGTGGCTACTATATTGGACAGCACAGGTTCTAAGCAAAACTTTGCTTTGTTCCTTTTTTTTTTTAATAAGGGTTGATAGGAGCTACCATTCATTGAGCATTTACTCTGCCAGTTTTTGCATAAGTGCTTTACTGACACATCTCAACAAATCCTAGAAATTCCATTTTAAAGATGAAGAAATGAAGGCTTGAGAGGTTGGGTAAACTGGCTTCAGATTGCATAGAATGCTGCAGGGTCAGTCAAGCTGTAGTCATGCTCTCCAGCCATTTAGGGAACTTTCCAGGACGCAGCCTGAGTCTACAGTCACTCCATAGCACATGGCTGGGCACCAGGGTCCAGGGAGGCTCTTGGCAAAAAGGAGAAGGAAACTAATTCCACTTCTCATCATGTGGGGACTCTGGAATCCTGTCTCCCAACATCCTATCTTCAGATATCTCTTCTCTTGCCTTTCTCCTGGACAGTGTCCTTTGGAATACAAACTCACACCTCAATGGGTGCTATGTGCAGAGGTTAGAGAAGAGGATGTCACCTGCAGGCCCAGAGGAAGGCAGTTGGGCTGGGAGTTGGGACCTGGAAAAATCCTTGTCATTTATAAACAAGGAAACAAGAAACAGTATTGTAATAGCTACCTTTTATTGAGCACCTACTTGTGCCAGGCACTTTACGTACATCTGTGCTTATAATTCCCACAACAACCTGGGAGTTGGACATTATTATCACCATTTTACATATGAGGAAAATGAGGCTCAGAGAGGTTAAGCAGCTTGCTCAAGGTCACACAGCTTTTTGAAGAGTGGTAGAGTCAGCACGGGAGATAGATAGGCACCTGTGAGTTCCCTTAAAATTGTATTAGGCATTCTTCACACTGAGAAAATAGAGGGGTGGAGGGCTGGGCAAAGAGATGTATTCTCTAGGGGCTGAGGGACTGGTTCTGCTGTCCAACCTGTAGATGGAGGCTGAGCCCTGCCCTGTTTCCCACCTCCGGGCTCTGGCAAGCAACTTCTCCAGACTTAGCTGTGAAGTCAGAAAAAAAAAAAATGCTCTGGCTGAGACTGATCTTCTTAGAACGGAAAAACGGCTGAAATGAAAGACCTTACCCTGTATGTGTATTTGCAAGCAGAGATGTGCACGTGTGGTGCGTGTGCTGAATGAAGCACACCGCCACCAGAATAAGACTATCCCTTCCTTTTAGGCCACACCCCTGCCACCTGTGCAGGGAGTGAGGCAGCTGAGCAATCATGAAGGGGCTGTTTATTTCCTACCAGAGTTCCAGGGACATTGCCTGGGAAGAGGCCAAGTCAACAATCAAAGCCTCAAATTTGCTCCCTGCCCCCTACCTCCAGGGTTACCCAGCTTCAGGGGTGTTGTGTTCATTCTGCAGATCCAGGGATGACACATGATGCCTCCCTCCCCCCTCCCCCGCCTCTCTCTCTCTCTCTCTCTCTCTCTCTCTCTCTCTCTCTCTCTCACACACACACACACACACACACACACACACACACACACACACACGGTCTTGGGGTAAGGCACCAAGTCTGGCCTGCGTGGTCTTGCAAGTCTTTGTGCTGAGCACATATGTGTACACAAGGCTGAGTGCATGTGTGTACACAGATGGTTAGTGCAGTGTTAGGAGTCTCTTCACAAATGAGGGACAACGATGATAGCGCTGCGCTGAATCAAGCCCTCCAGTTGGCCAAGTACTCCCATCTCTTCCCGGCAGCTGGGGTGGGACCAGGTCAGTCACAGTTGAGGCCAGGGCTGAGAACTCAGGGCCTGGCTTCCAACTCCAAGAATATGCCCTTTCTTAGTGTGGCCGGGGGCTATTTTGGGACCTGAAGGAGGATCAAGTCCCCACTTCAGAAGGATAAGATGGCTACTCAGGCCAGAATGGAGAGTGAGGTTTTTCTTTTGTGCTTTTAAAATCCAACCATGTGTAACAGGAACTGACCTTTTCCCCCGGAGCTCACACACCCCCACCCCAGAGAAAGGTTTCTGTAGACAAGGGTGAGTGGAGGTTTCTGTAGACAAGGGTGAGTGGAGGAAAGGGACTTGTTAGGTTGTGCGTAGGAGTGGGAGGCTGCTTCCGCGCCCTCCGCTGGCCCTGCAGGAGTGGGTGGAGCACATTTATGTTAGCACCCAGGTAGAGGGTGGTACAGAGGTAGAGACTTCCTGGGGATCCACGGGGTGGTTGTGACGAGGGTGAAAGGCCTGCAGGAAGGCGGGTTAGAGCTGTGCGGTTCCCGGGCTCCGGGCTGGGTCAGGACGCCCAGATGAAGTAGGCTATCTCATCTAGGTCGACGGGGTAATCGGTGAGCAGCACTGGGGTCTTGTCAAAAAGCTCACCCTTATAGCTGCGCCATTTGCCCGCGGGCAGGTAGACGTCACGTTCTTGCTTGCCGGGCTCCAACACTGGTGCCACCAGCAGGGTGTCCCCGATGAGGAACTGCGAGTCGATGAGGTGAGCTGTCTCGTCGCCCGGAGCGATCCACCAGAGGGGGCGCACAATGGGGTCGCCAGTGTCCGTGACCTCCCCGGCCAGCTCCAGCAGGAGCGGTGCCACGAGCGAGGCCCTCAGGGCGGTGAACTTGTGCGCGATGGCCACCACTTCCGCGTCGTACTGCCAGGGTGGGACCGAAAACTGCATAGCGGGCATGAACGCGGCCACCTCCAGCCAGCGCACGTAGAGCTCGCGGTCCGGCACCTTGCCGCCGCCCGCGGTGCGCTCCGGCACCACGTTGCCACCCACCATGTCCGGCAGGATGAACGGGTAGCCCAGCATGCTGACGGTGAGCACGGCCGGGATGAGCGAGCGCAGCCCCAGGTCGTAGCCCCACACGGAGTCGCGGTCCACCAGGCGGAAGAAGCAGGAGATGTTCTGCGACTGGTAGCCCACGCGGACCTCGGCCAGGGAGAAGAAGGGAAGCGCCATCTCCGTGTAGCGCCGGCTCCAGATGTTGGGGTCCGGCAGCGGCCTGTAGGTGCTGAAGTCCCGCGGCAAATAGCTGACTTCGCCCGCGTCAAACTTGAAGGAGGCGACCTCGTAGTGCGAGCGCAACCGCCGCAGGTGCCCCTGGAACCAGTCGCGGGCCTCGGGGCGCGTGAAGTCCAGCACGGCGCCGATGCCGTTCCACCAGCGCACGAGCGCCGGCAGCCGGCCGGTGGGCTCGCGCACGAACAGCTCTCGCTCCACGCCCTCGCCAAAGGACGAGGAATTGTAGTTGACGAACGGGTGCACCCAGAGCGTGACCTGAAATCCAGCGTCGCGCAGGCGGCGGAACATGTCGCTGGCGTTGGGGAACTTGACCTCGTCGAAGTCGAAGTCCCCGTAAGCAGGTGTGTACATGTCGTCGATTTCCAGGTGGCTACTGTTGAAGCGGTGCTGTCGGATCTGCTGGGCGAAACGCTGCACCTTGTCCTGGTCCACCTCCCGCCCGTACAGCACCCACGTGGACCAGATGGGGTCCCGGAAGGTCTCGGGTGCGGGCACCTTCGACGGCTTATTGAAATAGCGCCGGACCATGTACTTGTGGATGGAGGTGATGTCTGAGCCGACACACACACGGTAGCTGAGCTCGAGCGCGGCGGGGAGGCCGGCCGGTGGCTTGAAGGGCGTGTTGCTGTAACGCGCCTGTAGCCGCAGCGAGCGCTCCGTCCCGTTCCAGCCCAGGTGGAAGGGCACTGAGTCGTTGACCTTGATGGCAGCCGCGCGCGAGGAGAGCCAGTAGCGCTCGAGGATGCCTCCGAAGGCGGCGTCGGAGGAGTAGACGTCGCTGGTGACGAAGGGCTGCGGCTCCTGCTGGCCTTCCAGCCGGATGGGCCAATGCTGAGTCCTCATCTCCGCGCCGCCGTACCAGTGCGCCGCCTCGTCCCCCAGGAACATGGCGTGCTCCACGGCGAGCCCCGGCTCCTCCTCCTCCCAGCGCACGCGGTAGCACATGACGGTGTCCTTGGGACGCACGGTCTGGATGAAGAAGTGTAGCGGGCGCCCATCCGCCGTGCGGGAGCAGCCCAGCAGGGCGCCATCGCGGCTGCAGGAGTCGAGGTCCAGGGCACCGGAGCGGAAGGCCAGGCGGAAGACCTGCTCGCCCTTCTGGTTGCGGATGGAGAAACCTCCAAGGTTAAGGTCCAGCTGCTCCGCGCGCAGACGCTCAGCCTTGCGCAGAGAGGCGCTGTAGAAGCACCAGGCTACCACCGCGGCCAACACCAGCAGCAGCCCCAGCACTACCGAGCCCAGCAGCGGTTTCGCCTCTTTTGATGATGCTTTGGGCTTTACAGACGAGAAGTTGTCAGGCAGGAAGGTGTACATGGCTGTGGCTGAGGCAGCCTCAGGACTCTTCAGGCCTGTGTCGCGCCCAGGGCGTCGGCGGGGGTTGGCCTGGCTCTTCTCCAGATTTTGAGGCATCAGCCCTCAGTTAAGGAAGGAACGGGCAGTGGGCACATGACAAAGCCCGTCTGAACCTGGCCTGCCAGAGTCTGGAAGGGGGAGAGAGAGGCGGAACGGACCTTCTCATTCCATAGTATTTCCATTTGCTGCAGCAAGAAAGAAGAGGTGTATACTTTGGAAAGGTGTATTCGGGGACATAAGGGTTTAAGACAGTGGTTCTCAACCTTCCTAATGCCGCGACCCTTTAATACAGTTCCTCATGTTGTGGTGACCCCCAACCATAAAATTATTTTTGTTGCTACTTCATAACTGTAATGTTGCTGCTGTTATGAATCGTCATGTAAATATCTGATATGCAGGATGTATTTTCATTGTTACAAATTGAACATAATTAAAGCATAGTGATTAATCACAAAAATATGTAATTATATATGTGTTTTCTGATGGTCTTAGGCGACTCCTGTGAAAGGGTTGTTTGACCCCCAATGGGGTCACGACCCACAGGTTGAGAACCAATGGTTTAAGTAATGGCAAAGGTGAGACTTAAGAGGACAATCTGTATCTTACCCTTTCTCACGGGCCCTAATGTTTGTTGACATTAGTCAGGACTCTGAATGGGCAGGGGCAGATGACATGCATCCTATTTTTGTGGGGAAGAAACAAACCCAGACAGGGTCAGGGAGAAGTCCAGATCACAGAATATCAGACTTCATGGGATCACACATGGGAGCAGTTCAAGCTGAAGAGAAGGGGAGGGATCTGGAGAGGACATGGTTTCCCAGAGATGTGGCCATGGTGGGAGAGGGGAGGCATCATAGGGCAGTAGGATGAGTTTCCTTATCCCCAAAGGGGAGAGGAGAGAGCAAAAAGAAACAAACAGCTCAGGCATGGAATTTAATCAGAAGCCAGATTGAATCTGGAGATTAGTTCTCTCCTAGGGCTTGGTTTGGAGGGAGGCAGGGTTGGGTTCAGACATTAGGGCTGGGGTCAGGAGCCTGGCTCAAGAGCCATGGTGGCTGGCTTCTCAGACCTCCCCCTCTTTGTCCTCAAATTCTACCCTGCTTTCAGCCATTGTTCACCAACCCATTTCCCTGCCCACCTTCCTGCTCTGCTCCCAGCACCACATCTTTGGCCAGCTGCCACCCAGCTTTGTCTCTGCCACGCACCCACCATCCTGATGCCCCGCCCTAGTTTTGGACACTGTCTCTTCTCCCCAGTATTATTGCAATACTTCCCCTATAGACCTCCATGCCCTAATTTCTTTCCCCCAATGCCTTCTGCTTATAGCAACCATAGCGATCCTTCCAAAGGTGTGGTTCAGTTGGTTGGAGTGTCATCCAGTGCACGAGAAGGTCGTGGGTTGGATTCCCAGTCAGGGCGGATTTGGGGCTCATGCAGGAGGCAACTGATTGATGTTTCATTCTCACATTGATGTTTCTTTCTCTCTCCCCCACTCCTCTCATCTCTTTCTCCCAAATCAACAGAAGCATGTCATTGGGTAAGGATTAAAAAAAAAACCCAACTTATCAGATCACATCTCCTCCTAGTTTACAGAGCTTCTCATGAACCCTGGGATAAAGTTCAGAAGCATAAATTTTGCAACTGAGGTTCAAGACATGATATGGTCTCATCTGCCTTTTTGATTCCATGTCCAGCCAGGCCTATCTTATGACTACCAAGCTCATTTTTCCCCCAACCTAAATCCTTCAGGCCACCTGCTTTAGATTTCACCGATCCACCTTGGGCCAACATTTCTCCCCAACCTACCAGCTCTCCAGGGATCAGAGGCGCACCTCCTCCCAACTACACACATATACTCTCACACACTGTATGCTAAACACCCAGATATGACTGGGAAACATAGACTTGGGGGAGGTGTTTTGCAATCTGCTGCTCAAGGCCACTGACTCTTCCTGATTTAGCCCTCAGGACAGAGTCCAACAAAGAAATAGCCCTAGCCAGGTGCATACAGACATACACACTGCCAGCCAGCCCGCTGCACCAGCTAGGGGAAAGGAGAGAGGGAGACTGGCAAACAGTAATTAGTCTCCTCCCAGATGCCAGTGTCTGTTTCTAAGTCCCCCAGGAGATGTCAGAACTGTTCAGGATCTTTACCACCCCCCACCACTCCCCTGAAGAGACTATCAAGAATGCCAGGTGCAGATCAGAACTTTGATCCCAGATTTCAATATATAGCCCCTCCCCAATGTGCTATCTCGGCCTCATTCTCTGTGCTCTCTGCCCCACCCAATAGCCTAAGCTAGTTGGTTCTGGCTGGTCTGGAACAGCCTCTTAATCCCTTCCTCTCAGCCCACATAACACTTAGCTTTCAAACTCCCCTCCCCAGTATGGATTCCCCTTCCTGTAGGTACAAATTAGAAAAGTTCCCCTGAGAAATGCAGGCAGTAACCTTTTGCTGATGACCTCAAGCTAAACAAAACCCAAAGAAGGTCTTAGGTGGCCCAGGTCAGAGCTGCTATATATTATATTCAAGGCCCCATTCTGGGCACTAAGGACATAAATGGGAAAGGTCCAGAGCTGAATAGGGCCCCTCATTCTCAAAACTTTCATATTAAGTCAGACCATTTCATGACCCCTGGAGGCATGGAGAGGCCACCAAAGTGACCTTAGAAGCCTTTTCCAACACTTAATTTCTGAGAAGCTTAACTTTCTAGGATTTGGAGGTTCTTTGATGAAGGATAGGAGCCTACAGGCCTGAGCACCCACTCCATGCAGGCCCTGTGCTGGTCTCCCAAATGCCAGCAGAGCACCCACCCTAACAGTAATGCCAAAAAAGAGGCATAGCTACAGTGCCTATTGTACATATGAGGAAACAGTGGCCAAGTCAGAAAAAAAGGAACTTGTTTGAAGTCACCCAAGTAGGTTTCCTCAATCCAAAAAGTCAACTTAATCCTCCACAGCCCCAGTTTTAGGAGACAGGACTTAATGGTCTGACAGGCTGAATGCAGCAAAGGAGCCTTGTGGTCAAGAGGCTGGGACAGGCTTCTATCAAGTGGGTGTGGGCACCGGTGAGGCCTGTTTTCCCAAGGGCTGCTGCTGCTGCTGCTTGCTCCAGGAAGAATTCTTGTGGGAAAGGGGCAATTTTAATAGCATCTGGTACCGGGGCTATGGGGCAAGAACAGTGATTCCAGTGTTAACGGTGGCGTTACAGACTCCTGTAATCTGCTGCCTCCAACCATCAGACCAACCACAGGCTAATGTCGGCAGGTGGGTTTGTTCCTAGCCAAGACTTCTCCCCACTTGGCTAAGGTCAACCTCAATCTTGGCTGCCAGCCCCTAGTCGGGTATGAGGAGGAGGACCCGACAGGCCCAACTGAGGGGAGGCCATTCCAAGCGGATTCGTTTCTTGAACACTGTTCCCAGGGGAATATGTGGAAATGTCAAAGGCAACTCGATCCGGCCCATTTCCCTGCTCAGCGGCGGGATCCGGGAGATCGAGTGACTGGGCCTACAGCCTGGAATGCTCCACCCACCTCCCAGTGACCCGCCCAACAGCTGCAAAGTCCAAAGGGACAGACTGAGGTCAAGGGGCCTGTCTCCCACTGGAAACCAAGGTGACTCAGGTGTCCAGACTCTCCGCACGCACTCAGCAATAGGAGCAAAAGTGAAGTGTGCTCCCTCCGAACCCGCCCCGCCCCAGGCCCTCCCCCTGGGCTCACTCACGGCAGTGACCCCAAAAGTGGGGGTGAAGGTAGGCTCCTGCAGATCTCCACGCTAGCCAGAGTTGAGCTGCCACCGCGCAAAGCCGAGCGCCGCCTACTTAGGGGACAGCTGAGGCCCCGCCCTCTGGCTGGCTGGCCACGCCCAGGTCTCTTGGTCTCGCCCAGGGCCTTGGAGTCCATCCCCGCCCCAGACGCCGGACCCCTCCTCCCACATTGTCACGCGGACTTGAGGCCCGGCTCCTTAGCCCCTACCTTCCTCCTACTCCTCTGGGCTCAGCTCCCGGCATCTCAGGCCAGCAGCCAGCCCAGTGCCTCCCGGCTCCGCCCTCGCCTGCAGGCCCGCCCGCTCGCGTGGGGCGGGGGCGGGGGAGGGGTCTGCTCCAGGTCTTCAGGGAAATGTAGGTTTGGAGGAAGGAGCGGCTGTAGAATGTTAGGTTTCTTGCACCTCCAAGCTACATTTGGGATGCGTATGAGAAGGAGCGAGCCGCAGGGTAAAGGGACAGGGCTAGCGCTTGGCATTCCTTACCCTCCAGATTTGGGCAGGTGGAGGTCGTCTCGGTATAACGCTCTTATCAGCTCTCCCATATGGAAAAAAAAGTTTCTTATATGGGAAAAGGGTAGCAGGATTCCTGGAGAATCTCAGCGGCCCAATGTAAGGCGGATCCAATCAAGGACTCCACGGAGGGACCTTGGTTTCACCAGCAGGGAGGCCCAAGCTGTCGGTTCTCACCAGTCCAGACCAACAGCATGGAGGTCAGGGACCTGGAACACTGGCTTCCCCGCACCCGCCACTCCCCAGTGACGGGCGTTGGAAATGACTATACTGCGAGGAAGTGAGCGTGTCCCGCTATACCCCTGCCCCAGGGAGGAATGGGGTGCAACAATACTGAAGATCCCAGAGATTCCAGAACCTCCCACTCCTTGCTCCCCGAGGGACATAGAAGCAGGGCTTTGTTTTGTAATTTGAAATTTCTTGATCACGAAACCGGCCAAAATTGTTTTGTTGTTTTGGACCCTTCTCTTGGGTTGGGGAGGACAGCAAGGTATATGAACATAGGCTTTTGGGGGGTTGTGATGGGGAGGATTCTGGGGTGAGAAGCATTAAGTTTAGGAGATATTAGAGGAATGTTAGCTGGAGGGCCCTTTCTGCATGACTAGGTGGACCCATTTGTTTGGGCTCTGGGGTGGAGGGGAGGAGGACACCAGGTGTATCTAGGGCAGCGGTTCTCAACCTGTGGGTTGCGATCCCTGAAAATACACCCTGCAGATCAGATATTTACATTATGATTCATAACAGTAGCAAAATTACAGTTATGAAGTAGCAACGAAATAATTTTATGGTTGGGGGTCACCACAACATGAGGAGCTGTATTAAAGGGCCGTGGCATCAGGAAGGTTGAGAACCACTGACCTAGGGCTACTTTTGTGTGTCAGGAGGGCACTTTAGGGCCACCTAAGGGAAGTGCTGAGGTGATGGGAGTGGGGAGGGCTCAGGGCAGGTTGACTTTGAGAAACTGCATCTTAGCGTAGGGGACTTGGCAGAGGCCTGGGTAACTGGTTCCTCATTGCCAGATCTTGCTGGATGAGGACACGGGAGGCAGGGGAATATGTGGAAATATCAAAGGCAGCCTATGGGGTGAAAAGTTTATTTATTGCTCAGCCCCCGTGGCCTGGTCCCGGCTCTATCAGTAGGAGTAGCCAGGGTAACCCTCGGACAAAAACTCGGGGTGGACAACATAGTTGTTTCTCTGGGAGCCACTGGTCTTCTTAAAGTGACTTGTGTCCCACCTGTGGGAAGAGATGGGCCAGACCTTTTGGACCCTTATCTGTTGGATTCCAATTCTCAATGCTAACCTTATCCCAACATTTTGCCCCTAATCCTGACCTTAGGCTCCAACACTGACTTCAGGTTCTATGGCCAAATTTTTGATTTCCAATACCCAGTCCCTAACATTGACATTTTACCCTCTACTTCAATCCCTGAACCTAACTGAAATCTTGACTCTATGCCCCACTGTCAACCTGTAACCTCTCAATGCTGGCCTCCACACCTTCATGGAGTCCTCCATCGCCTTGTTAGTTTTGACTTCACCGTGGCACTAGCGCCTCCTGGTGGCATCTTTCAGTTAGTGCATCGCAGCGGAAAGTATACACCCCCAATTCCGCCCCCCGCCCCCAGGTACTCCACCGCGCCCGACTTACCTAAGGTTCGCATAAGGGTAGTACGGCCGCAGGGGCGTTATAACAGCACAGTGCATCCCGGGCCGGTGCTCGCTGGGCGATACACTCCTGGAGGAGGAAGCGGCGGCAGAGGTTGGGCCTTTTGATTTTCCCCTAACCCCCAAGCCCAGGCCAGGACTCTGGTCCACGCTTCAGGTGTCAGTCCTACGTCTTGGAGATCCTCTCCTCAGGTCTCCGGGCCCTTCTAGACACCGTCGGAGCATCGCCTCTGGGAAGACACCTGGAAGTCCCCTCCCTGTAAGGCCTCGTTTCTGCAGCCTGGGTTGCGCCGTGGAGGAAGCACCCGGACTCTATCGAGGGTCGGGCCTGGGAGTCCCGGGATCCTCGCCCCAGGACGGCAATTGTTGCACACTATCCATCCAGGGAGCCGTGTCTCTGAGCCTCAGGAACTTCCTCCCCGCCCCCTGCCCCCCATTCCCTTGTAAGGGATAGGACCCAGTCTCACTCAAGGACTCAGTCTCTCTGTCAAGGGAGGGGCGGCGGGGATCACCAGGGGGTTAGGGTTCAGAGCACCCCCTGCACAGCTCTTTAGCCCAGTGGTCGGCAAACCGCGGCTCCCGAGCCACATGCGGCTCTTTGGCCCCTTGAGTGTGGCTCTTCCACAAAATACCACGTGCGGGCGTGAGCGAAGTTGACTTAAAAGTTTAAGTAAAGTTTATTAAGTTAATTTTAGGGAACGTTGTGGAGTGAAAGAAGATGTAGTGTCAAGGATTGAGAAAGGTATGTTGAGATGGTTTGGACATATAGAGAGGATGAACGAAAGGAGATAGACGAAACAAGTATACAAGATGAGTGTGGATGGGAGAGTTGGAAGGGGTCGACCTCAGCGGACATACCTCAATCAGATTGAGGACGTTTTTAGCAAAGGCCAGCTTAGGAGTACCCTAATTAAGTTAATAACAATGTACCTACCTATATAGTTTAAGTTTAAAAAATTTGGCTCTCAAAAGAAATTTCAATCGTTGTACTGTTGATATTTGGCTCTGTTGACAATGAGTTTGCCGACCACTGCTTTAGAGGGATGGGGCCATTGGCGTTTTCCCAGGTCCAGCCCGCCCTATGTGCCCCTGGTGCGGAGAGGGGACTGCACTGCAGTCTGGCCTGCGGCTGAGCGCTCCGGCCTCAGTTTACTCTGCAGTGACAGGCAAGGCTGTCTACCTCCGGAGGCGGTGCAGGGCTCCGAGGAGGCCAGGGCCCTTCTGGTCGCCCGGTCACCATTTCCTCGCTCATTTGGCACTCAGCCACAACCCTGCCCATTACTGACGATGCCCCGAGGCCCAGGAATAGAGGACACTTCTGAGAACACGTCCCCCGGATCAGGTGTCCAGGTAGGGAGTGGGGCTGGCGGGCACGGGAAGGGGATGAGACTGGTGTGCGGGGGGTGGTTCACAGAACCCTCCTGAACAGATACAGGAGCTAGGCTGACCCTGGTCACAGTTTCGGAGGGACAGGATCGGAAACCCGGGGGAATCTCCGTGCAGGCTCTGCCGCTTCAGCTGTCAGTTCAAGCCCAGGGGCCCGAGGGCGGGACGGGGCGGGGTCTAGCTGGGCTGGAGGGGGTGGGGCCTGGCGTAGAGGCAGAGGCTGGAAGCGGCTCGGGATGGAGCGCTCGCCGCCGCCGGAGGGGGGGCTGGGCTCGGGACGGCGGGTTTGGGGGCGGGGCCCGGCTGAACTGGGCGGGCCCTGCGAACCTTACTGTGGGCTGCGCGGGGCACAGAGGCCGCAGGCGGCGTTCTGCGCAGGGCGCCCCGCCGACGCAGTAGTCGATCCCGCGCAGGCAGTAGTGGCGGCCCGAGCAAGGGCTTTCATAGCCCTGGTAGGGCAGGCGGCCCGGCAGCGGGTCCACGCACCCGCATCGGGGTGTGATCTGCGGCAGCGTCTGGTACCGTGACAGCGAGTTCAGCATGTTCACCACCACCTCGCGCTCTGGGTCCGCAGGTCCCCAGCCCGGGAGACCCAGACAGAGAGTCACAAGAATGGGAAGAGACAGGGGGAGAGAGAGAGAGAGAGAGAGAGAGAGAGAGAGAGAGAGAGAGAGAGAGAGAGAGAAAGGGACAGACAGAGACAGGGTTACACCCTCTCCAGGGTCCAGGGTCCTCGGCCCCCACCTCGTCCCACAGGTCCCCATTCCACTCTTTACGGCCTCCTGATACCCGTCCCCCCTTCTAACCCCCCCACCCCCCCATCCGTTACCATAGGCATTGAGTGGCTCCGGCTTGGGAGGGTTCTCTAAGGGCATTCCTCGAACTGCTGTCTCCATCCCGGCTTCCTGGAAATGGCACACACGCTACCTCAAGCTCTGACCTGGAAGGACCCCTTTGGGGTTCTCCCTCCCAGCACCCCAGACCAGTCCCAGGCCGCCCCTAATCCGGTCCTCCAGACTCTCCCCTCTCTGCCCCGCCCCGTTTGGAGTTGTCGCCAGGCAACGCATTTACTCCGCCTACCTGGGGTGGGGAGGGGGAAGGAATGAAACTAGTAGGACCGGGTAGGCACCTGAGCGTGTGACAACCCTACCTCAGCGTTTGCCTGTGGTTTTACCCCCTTTTGTCGAGCTGATTGTCTAGCTATGTCTCCGCCTCTCTCTAACAGGGTGTTTTCAATATTGCCTGCCCATGAGAATCCCCTGGGAATTTGTGAAAAGTCCTGCTTCTTGAGGAAGTTCTGATTCAAAAGGGTTCAGTCAACCTAAGGTCAGCCATCAGCCTACAGTGAGAGCCCCTGCTGAGGCCTCAGAGCCTCCCACACTCCCTCAGACCCGGGGCTGCCCTGGACTCCTTCTCCCCTTGGATCACTCCCCTGTGTTTTATCTGCATTGCCTCTGAGTGGCCTGATTTTCCCTCCTTTTGTCATTGCTGACATCACAGAGGGGAGAGTAGGCAGGTAGACAGCCTAACACTGCTCCTTGGCCAGACGTGTGGAAGGAGCCAAGTGGCAAGCTTAGGCGTATAGATTGTCAAGGAGTGCACGCTAGCCTATCCCCCATAGAACCCAGCCAGAAATTGGGACCCAGTGAAGCCAG